CTCCATAATTAACCTGGCAYATTACCCAGAATACTCCAGATTTATATTCCCGCAACGGGCCAACTTCTTTGCGCTGGAGGAAAAGCAGGGTATGGTTCACCTGAGGAAGATCACTTCCAGAAGAGCTTGAAACACTTGAAGGTTCTCCCCTCCCATACACATGGGCTGCATCTTCCTTAATTAATTCCATACCAAACGTCAGCCAGGAGACCAAAGCACTTCAAAAACCTCTGTCAGGGCCATCACACGGGAAAGAGGCTGTCCTGGAAACACAGGTGAGGACTGGCTGATGTGCCCAAGGTTACTCTCTGCATCTGCAGCAGAGCTGGACGAGGACACAGCCCTGCGCTTCGMCCCGTATTTGCGGCACCGTGTGGTGCCCTCGTCCTTGGTTTGCACTATGCTAAACCAGGCAGCAGCCTTTGCCCCCTAGACACGAGCAGCACCTACCCACCTGCYTTGGCAGCCACTTTGCAGAGGTGTCATCTCACAGGGACATAGAAGGAATCACAGAGGTGTCATCTCACAGCGACATAGAAGGAATCCAGGGCTCTCGAACAGCTGTGAAGGTGACACTGAAACACCAAGATGCTACTTATTGCATCAGAGCAAGGCTGCAGGACCCTGCTGGTCACGAGACAGGGGCTGCAACACCAGGGCTAGTAAGGTAACAGCTTGAGGAAGAGCCTGGAGTGCTGGACAGCACCGCTTCCACACTGCACACCCGTGAGGACACTGCCCTGCTCCCCGAGAGGCTCAGAAAACTCACAAAGAGGCCAAGACCTCAAAGAGAAAAGTGTCCTTCACCAGGGCAAGCAGTTCTTTTTGAAACACAGCGATATCTSTGTGGGGGCATTTGGAAAATATCCTTACACTGAGATTTGTTGAGATCCAGATCTGTGGAAGAGTCTTCTACAGACCAACTACATCAAGCACAGTCTATTGGTACCAATCCTTCCGACCTCTACAGAGAAACACACATTTCAGGACTTTTAAATGACCTTATGACAACCCTTCACCATCTAGCACTTGCAGTGTGCATGCTCACTCACCAGTGCAGGAACATCTTCCCTTTCCTCTACGTGAAAAAGCCATGATCATTGCTATCACACTCACGTAACTTGCAGCCTGTAGTAGATACATCAAGCCACCTCTCAAGATCTATACATTGTGGGAAATGAAGCCCATGGACCTGTATTTTTGGAGACAAGAGCGGAGAGCTGCTCTGCCTAATCCTTTGGCTGGTTCCTTGATCAGAGATGGGGGCACCACGACCACCAAGCTGCTAAGGAGGGACAGCCAGTCAGGCTGGGGGGTAAATACCTGCTCTCTTAGTAGCACAGCTCTCCAGCTTCAGTCACAACCCAAGAAATACCAGCAAAATGTCATCAGTCCCCGAGAGACACTGACCTTTGCCACAGCRCACGGTGAGATAATGACATATTTCTAGAAAAGAAAAACAAAACGCTGATAAATCCAATCAGACTGCTAGGTTAAAATTCCACAATAAAAATAAAAGGTTGAGGTTACAAATAGGAACCAGGATCGCTTTAACTAATCCTGCCTGATGTCTGTGGGTTACACTCTCTTAGAGGGCATAAATTAAACAGTTCCACTAGCTGCTTCCTTTGTATTAGGTCAGATGCTGTAGAGGACTTGGCAAGGGAAATAAACAACAGAAAACACTATATGCGACTGGTTCTCAGTGGTCTGACTAACTGGGTCTATTTAACTGACAGGAATGCTATTTAATCTATTTCCCCATCTTCAAAATATAAAGAAAAACATCGCATGTCTCACTGCAACTTTTGCAAAAGCCTCACAAAGTTTAAAAAAAAATAAAGAAAAAACAGCACGAACCAACCTACAAATGCACRTGACTTTTATTGTTTTACTCCAGGACAAAAATGGGCTTGCTGTGTTTTTTAATACCTGAGGCCCCTCTAAACAGCTTAGACAGCACTCACAGACCTGGGCAGAACTGAACTTCTGCAAGTCTGATGTATCCAAGCAATTTGTCGCATCCTAATAGAACTATCCACGCTGACGGTCCTCTCGCTTCCGCGCTCCCTGCAGTGAACAAATTCAGCTTTTTCTGAGCACATGTATCAATGCACTTCCCCCCACAGCATAAGCAAAATGCTGAAGAAAATAATAATAAAAAAAAAAGTGCTGTATCATTTTCCATTCCTTCAGAAACTGAATGTTATTCAATAAAATCCACTTCACGGGGCTGGCAGGAGAACAGCCATCTCTCACCACCGCTCTGCTGTGTGAAGGAAAGCTTCACTCTCCCCACTTAGACTCTGGAAGGCAGCTCTGCAGCCCCTGCCCCTGATCTATGGGGAGCCCTCGCAGGCTGCTGGGGGCAGCGGGGTTGTCAGTCTGGGGACGGGCACTCATTGTACCTGTGGTCCTAGCAGGGCGGAGCTCCAAGCCTGCAGGAAGCTCCGTGGGCATCCACGGGCACTCGCAGGTCTGCACAGGGCAGGTCGCAGGGTGGGTCTCAAACGTGAACCCAGAAGGGGCTCTCAGCAGATCCTCCTGCTCTCAACGGGACATTGAGCTACCAAACTTACCCAAGGTGAGGGGAGGAGAGGAGGAACAGGTTTTGGAGAGGAGGAACAGGTTTTGAGACAGAATTTCTGTGAAAAAAAAGACATGTCACCAACACTGCTTTGCTGCATTCCAGAATTGCCTCATGTTAGATGGTACAAACTGAGCCCCAGCAGGAATGCCAGGGCCATTTGTTAGCACGAGGCAGAGCTTTGGGCTAGGGCAGCCTACCAGCACTGCAATCAGCCCAGAGCCTCTCTTCCATTTTCCAGCTCAGTGCTCAGCTCCACATTAAACAAGCACTCATACAAGCCGAGCTGCAGAATAGGAGGCTGGATAATAAAGCCCCAAAGAGCACAGGGAAGGCAGCTCCATCTCCTTTGCCTCCCTCCGGGTGGACCAGGCAGGCAGAGCAGCTTGAACTCCACCCTGCTGCACCTCTAGGTAGGGGCCCATTGCAGCCACGAACCAGAGGAGGGCAGGGTGCTCTCCCCACATCAGGGAGCAGTGGCCAGCAGGGCTCAGACAGGCACTGCTAGGTGTCCCCAAGAGGCACGTGCAATACACAGGACTGCAGCAAATCCACCCCTGCTTCCACCTCCCTCTTTCCCTCACAGCAGGGCTGAGCTCTCCAGACCCTCCCTTCCAAATTGTCCATGATTCAACCCCCAGCAGCCCCCAATTCACACGACTCTGCTCCGAGCTGCTGCCCTCCCTGCAGCCAAGGGAGCYGGGTCTGTATCTGTTGTCCCTCTCACACAGCCCAGCACCTCCCGCACTCTTCCCCATTAGCAACTCTGCCTTCTGCTCCGTTCCTGGAACAGCTTCTAACTCTTTTCTTCGAGCCAGGTTCATTAACCAGCTGCTGYGGAGCTGTTTGCCTCCCCCAGGTACTCTCTGCATGTCATTTGTTAATGACTCATCTCAGATTGGGCTCGCTGCAAAGACACCCCCTTCCTTTTGCACTACAGAGAYACAGCCTTGTTCTGCACACGCAGAACAACTCGGCCCCTCCAACACCCCATCCCTTCTCTATCCTTCCCCATCTCCCGCACCATCAAGCACGGGACAGATCTTGGTTCAAAGTGCTCTTTCCTCCCTTGTTTCTTTGCTGATCAAAGGCAATGCACGGCGAAGTGCAAATAAGCCCTCCTCCCACAGCCAGGCTTCGGGAACAASAAGAACGTAGGAACAAACTTAAGAACTTTCAATGTATTAAAGAAGCTTCAGCAAAGAAAGGTGGCTCCTTTAGCAGGCAGGGAACAAACATCAAGGATGCCAAATTCGCAGCAATTTCCCCAGCAGGCTGGGACTTGCTGGGGGGGTAAACCTGTTTCCGAGGCATYTGCATTGCTCCTGCCTCTTAGCAGGACTGACATTGGAAATGGGGGGGCAACAATGAAGTTTAGCCATGACCAGAGAACCTTTTCTCACTAGTGAAATCCTGTGAGGGTCTGGATGCCCAGTAYGCTGCAGAAMCCACCCAAGGAGCCACAAAAGGACRCAGTCCATCTTCACCACACAGGTCTATCAGACTCGGGTACACAACRTCCATCTGCAGCTCCTGAGAACCTCTCAGCTAAGCACGGCGAGAAGTTGGTGCAAAATAACACAAGTGCTGCTTGGGAAAGAAATCCCTTGAGATGCAGGACTGGGCTTTGGGCTTAGTCACTTGACATTTGTCATTAGAATTTTCGGGCTGGCACTTTTAGGGAACAGCAAGTTGGGAAAGAATCAGGAATCAAGAGACTTGACCTAGGGGCAGTTGGCTGGGAGCTATTCAGATCTGTCTTAGGATTCAAAGCTGATGGGCCTGCACGGCAGAAGAAGACAGAAACCTTCACTCTCACAAGTGTATGACACCAGCAGTCGGGGCCTGAAAACACCCACATGGCAAGGAACCCTGGCAGCAGCAAGAGGGMGGCCCACGCGCTGCACAAGGTACCTGCAGGTCACAGCTGACTTCGGAAACGGAGCTTAACCACAGGCCTCTGCTTGGAGAGCTCCCCTTCCTGCTCACRGAAAGCTCTTCTCTCGAGATGGAGGGGCCAAACTGCAAAACAGCACTGTTAGACCCAAGGTAAAGCACCTACTTGGCCTAAGACAGAGGTGAAGTTCAAATCTCCCAAACTAGGCAGCGAAGGTATCTATGCTCAGGAGATCTGGCTCAGCTACCAGCTTGGCCACAGATCCCTCTGCACAAAGCGGAGTTCCTGACAAACTGGGAAGCACTTGGCTACCCCGCAGACCCGGCTAGGAGATGTGACCRCCTGCTGTGACACCGTCACATCAGAACTCAGGGAACACTTACACGAACAAGAGCTGCTGCACCACGAGCCTGAAGTGACCTCCAAGCCAAGACTCCAGGCTCTGACATTAAATCGGCATTTTTAATTTTTTTTTTCCAAAAATGTGCTTTTTGTCAATTRCTGTTTCAATGCCAATCCCATCCCCCCTTAAAAAAAAATCCACACCTTGCCAAACTCGGTGCAAATCACCTGAAGTTAGTCCGTAACAAATAAAAAAAGAACACAAAACAAAGGCTGAAATGCTTTAGAATCACAACAATGTACAAAAAAAGGGGGAGGAAAATACAACCTGAAAGTGTTCAAAAATCAGAAAGACTAGTCAAGTCCATTGCTTCAGCAAGGGGATGCTGCTGTGACCCCTGCCAGTGGGTCCTGGGCCACCAGGCTGCCACGCACTAAACGGGCCCTTCTCCGATGCCGACCGCTGTCGCTAGCATCCAAGGGAAAGCAAAAGTGTCACCCTGGAGCGGCACTCGTGGGGGAACAGCTCACAGCAGCTCTCAGAGACCACATCACTTTTGGAAGGAAGACCATTGCCACGAGGCCCCCGTCTACCTGTAAGAAGGGAGGCTTGAGAGAGCAGCCGCTTCCTCCTCCTTGTGCTGATGCCTCCGAGACGCCGAGCAGTGCTTTCAATCTGTGAGAGATTAAAGGGCTTAGTAAGGGCAGTAAACAGACAGTTGAGTAAACAGCCCAGCACTGGATCTCATCTTCACAGAGCGAGGTAGTGTGAATTTCACCCCAGTTTCAAATAGACAGGGGTAGCAGAAAGGCTGAAGACTTCCATGGAAAGCAGTTCCTGGCCTAGAAACCTTCCCGTGCTCCCTTTGGGAATGGAAAGATCTGTGTCGATGGCTTCCTCACTCCCAGCCCTGGCTTTGGTAGCCACACTTCAGCCCTGGAATTCAGATGTGTGCTATAGAACTTCTCCCGAGATCTCATTTAGTAGAGCAGCTTCCTCARGGTTGAGCAGCAGTGAGAGCGGCTGGGAGGGAGTAAAACTGTCCACAGATTCCTTTTTCTGCCCCTTTGGTTAGTCCTTCTCTTTAGAAGTCCCTCTTCAAAGGACCAGGAAAACATCCTGGAAACAAGTAGGGTCTGCACAGTGTAACTTCGCCAGGTGCTGCTAACTGGGAGCTGTACTCAAACTGGGCGTTTATTTGCCAGCCTGGAAGGGACTGGCCCAGGACCAACTGAAAAAGGAGACACAGGCCCTTTTCTGCTCCTCTGGCTGCCATTCCTAGCTGAATGGCATTCAGATGGTAGGTTCTAGTGACGGCTGGAGACCAGCCCTTTGACTTTGGACATCTTCTTTGTGGGCTGCCTTTGTTCTGCATGTGGAGGGCACTCTCGTTCTACCAGCTGCTGCTCCATCTCCTGCGCCGACGACGAGGCGGTGGCTTTTAATGTTTTCTTTATGTTTGTGACCTGGCCAAGAAGAGACAGTGAATCAGCACCTCCTCCCCTCACAGAAGAAGCTCCATTCATAAAACACATTGAAAAACCTCTGGAGTACAGAGTGAAGGTTCCACAATAAACTGTCCCAGCATAAACATTTTCATTGCTCTACATTCAACATTATTAAAGGTAACTTTTTATCCTTACTTAAGAGGTAGAGCTATTAATATTCCATACTGGACCTGGACTAGAACCAACTGGAGGTTACTTACATCTTCTAGGAGATACTGGCACAATATTGCTGTTTGGAAGGACCTGCTACCGCTTTGGTGCCAAAAGCAGCCCTCTTACCTTGATCCTGGCCAGAAGCAGCAAGGACAGAGAAGAAGGAAAGAAGCAAGCTGGCACTTAGGACAGTGATCAAAAATGAAAAGGGAAAATGACCCTTGGCCTAGCTGGCTGAGTCACACATATCTGCTGGAAGTAGGAACAGGAATTGGCCCATGGAAGGGAGTGCTTCTGCTGCTCTGCCTTGAGAAGGAGATCCAGCATAGGCATCGTATCCTGCCCCAGAGCCCTGCAGGGCTCACCACAAGTACAGTTGTGTACATGAGCAAACAAATAATTTAAAAAAAAAAAAAAAAAGAGTCAAAACAAGTCTAGAAATCAGGTGTACAAACTCCAGGCCAAGGGCATCCGGCAAAACAAATGAGCTATGGGTGCCAATCAAGCCGCCAAGCACAAACTGCTTCAAAAGGCAAACGTAAACCTGCAGGGAGGCAGCACTCTGCAAGAAATTAGCTCTGAACAAGTGTCTCTGGAGGACCATTTTCACCTTTACAGCTGTATTAGCTAAGATTTGTTCTCCCCARGCAAGACCCCATGAGCTGGGCTCAACTCATGTGCCGATGCTGCCATCTACTGAGCAGCTGCCGGAGTAACAGAGAGCAGGAGCTTTTCCAGGGCACCCTTCGGAAGACAGGTTGTTCAGAGCCCTTTCTGGATGCTCAACKCAACACCAGAAGGAAGACCATAAAGAAAACTGCTAAGGACACTTTTGCAATAAGACTCGARAGATTTTTAATTACACTCTCAGATTAAAAACGAAAGCAAATTAGCAAAAAGCAAGCTTTCTCCTTCTTCCATCACACAAAAAGGAACAGAATCCTAACTCTACGTTAAAAGCACTTGTTTCCTAATGAATCATTTCAAGGAAAAACAGCTAGTGCACTCATCTGGTCCACTTTCGTAAARAAAATTTCCACACTACTTAGCATCATCGGTCAGATTTGAGGCAGATTTAGAACTAGAACACGGGAGGACGTTTTTTATTGAAATAAGAGAATAGTCTAAAATGACACTACACTCACCTCTATCTCTACCTGTTGCTGAGTTCGGTGGTGGTTCTCCTTGTATTGGTTGGCTCTAAGTACTTGCTGCTCAATTCCTAAAAGAACCGCCTCACAACCATCACACCTGCAAAACACAGTGTCAAACAGAATTCATCAAAAGCTTTCAGCCTCATWTTAAATCAGAATTACTGACTAAAGGTGGGGTGTAAGACATATTTCAAGAGTTAATAAAACTTCAAAATAAACAAAAAAAAAAAGCCAGATTGAAAGAATGGCCCTGTCTGCCGTGTAAGACAAGGAACAACCTCCTCCAACACAAAGTTCATAACTGCAAAGGACAGAAAGGGAGTCTGCAGAGGCTTCATTGCTATGCTCTAGACAATGCTTTAAGGCCCTGGAAGATGCCACAGCCTTCCCTCCAAGAAAGGACTGAGGAAGTTGGAGTAGAGAAGCAAAAAAAAAAAAAAAAAAATTGTCTCCACCTCAGGACAGCCCATTTGCACCACAATTTGATGACTTTTCGTGTATTTATTACCACAGCTACTAGGAAAAAACCCTCAGTTAGCTCAGAACCTGCTACCAGCTCTACAGCATAGAAGCGAATTTCTCTGGATGGGAGGGGATTCCTGCCAAAAGGTGAAGAGCAGCTTCCTGGCAAAGATTTTTTCCTCCAGGAAAAAACGATAATACCACTATCCAAATGTGATGGCTGCAGGCAAAGTGCATTTGGAGGACAACCGAGAGAGGCAAACAAAGGCTCTGTGATAATATTGGGTATGTCCCTGAGTTCTCATCACAGTGAAAAAAGCAGAAAACTGATGCACAGCTCTGCTTTGTTATTAAGTGTAACCAAAGAGGCAGGGAGGGCCTCATACCACACGACTGTGGTTCCAGTTTGRCACAACTGTTTGGCAAAGCCCTTCATTCCTGGCTACAGTTCTGCCAGGTAAAAAACAAAGCGACAGCAGAACATTAAGAGCTAGTACAACTTGGCTTGATACACGAACACAGAATGAATCCTAGATGGGATCTTGGAGAAAGTGTCTGCTGGGCAAGATTACCAAGTGTCTGCACACAGCTAAGACTGCTGATTAATGAGTTGTGCTAAAATTGAGCCAGTAATTGAAACTCCAAGGAGTCAGAAAAAGCCAGCACAGACTATGCACAGGGAATAAGCAAGCTGGAGAAGCCTCACCATTCCTGCAGCGTTTTGACAATGTTACTGATGTCCTTCTTCTGAATGTCTCTGCCGATACAAAAATCAACCTCTAGCACCTGGTTGCGCTGATCCAGCTTCCCCTGGATAATATCTGTATAAACTGCTTCAATAATGAGATCTTCCAGCTCCCTCAGATTCCTCATGTCCAGGTCCTTCAGCAACACAGAGTAGGGAATACACTAGAAATAGAAGGCCAAAAATAAGTTATCAAACCTTGAGGCAGAACAAACAGCTAAGTCTCAAACAGAAGCAGGGCTGCAGAAGCTCAATGCCCAAAGGCTTTTTGTATTCTACACTTCAGCCTGCAAGCACAGCAGTGATTGATTACAGCAGAGCAACCATGTAATATTAGGGTACATCATATTCTGAGAGAATTTAGGTAATTCCTGAAGCTTAGGTACAGTACATTCTGGAGCCAAGAGGTACCGGAATTGTCAAATAAATTAGGGAGTGCCAATTATTTCCTCCCAAAAAGAAAAAAAAACAAAAAAGAAAAACAGTGTTTTTTCCCCAGTCTCCACCAGTGAAACAAGTCACACAAAGTGTCCCAGGTTCTACTAACCAATTTTCATGGCTGTTCTAACATCTGCACTTTTCATCCAWGAAAATCCATTAAGTTTGTGTCCCAAATGCACTAAAATAGGGTACTATACATTACAGATACTTTCCTCACTGCAGGGTTCTTTGAGGGTACTCTTGCAATCTGATACAACTATAATATTTTAGCATACATGCCAATTAAAATAATATTTGAAAGAAAAAAAAAATCTATTATCAGTCCTGATGTACTTCACCTTCATTCTGGAAGCTAGGCTTACAATCGTCAARTGTTTCAACTTGTTTTTCTGAGTCACTGTCAATTCAGGTAGGTTATCTTTGTTTGCTGTRAAAGTGAAAGAAAAACAAGATTAAGGACTTCAAGAATTGTATAATCCAGATTGTAGAATGGTAARCTAGTTAGACCACATCCAATCCTGAAAGGTTGAACTTCTCCAGCTACTGTGGGTGCTGATGAGCAGAGTGAGCTGCCACTGATGACAGATCACCATACAAATTGGAGAGAGATAAAAAAAAAAAAAATATTAAAAAGCAAGTTGACAATTCCATTCCTCACTATTTCTTTAGTAATTCTGGTTCTGGAATTAGAGCGTCATTCACATTTACACAAGCAGCATCCTGCCAAAGCAGTTGGTCAATGCTTTGTTCCTATCACCAAGACATTTTTACTTCATTAGTGGCTGACAGAATAAAACCTTTCCTCTCTGCTGTTCTGGTTGTAAAATACAGTTGGCTTTATTTCTCTGAAGAGCTCTGGAATTTAGGGTTGAAAGTGTTAATCAGCAGGCTGAGGAGAAGAGGAGAAATTATTAAGCTAGACAGTTATATGGCCTCACTGTCACTGTATTATAGCCACGTGCCTCATGAATATTTAAAAGCAGAAAGAAGGCTGGCTGCTTTCCAAAGCAAAGATACTCTTTAGAGTATCTGCTTTAATGAAAATAAGTGTTTCAGGGACATTTAAGCTCTCCCACACATCCCATCTCATTCAATGCTCTACCTTTTGCCTATTTTTCTTCCTTTCTCTTTTTTTTTTTTCCTCCATTCTTCCTCAACTTCTCCCTCTGCCTCCTCGGAAGCAGAGGGCTCATTCCACACACAAACATGATGCTTTAGAAGTGGATTTCTCCAGGCAGGTAAAACTGCTGTGTGAGCTGTTGTCTGAGGTGCTGAAAGGCAGCAGCCACAACAAACACATCACAYAAGAAATTGTAAAGGAAGAACTGCACAGTCACATGCTGGGATGTAAAAACCCACGCAAAGCAGACCTCCTTYCATCAGCTATAGAATTAATGAGACTCGTTGCTCCACTGCCAATGAAGTTTCCAACTCCTGCATTTATGGATGCTGGTTTTCCCTAGAGGAACTAGATAACTCATCCACCACAGTCATAACCAGCATAGCTTATGGTGGAGTTATTTGTCACACTCTGTAATACTCTGAATTCAGGCTGCTATCCAAAAATAAGTACTACCTTGTAGCAGAATGGAAGCACGGGCACAAATAACAGAGCACCCTCAGACAGACAGATGGATGATTCACAAACCATCGTTCTGAAGCTGTATAAAAGTCACAATTTATCTTCTGGTTAAGCATTTTTTTCATTTTGCTTCAGCAAGAGAGTCACAAAATAAAAACTTGAACTAAAACCATGTAGGATTTTAGAAATAACACAAAAGAACTTCATTAAAGTTTTCTGCAACTTCCATAAGCAGCATAATCTAAATTTCAAAGCAGATGCCTGGAACTGCTCTCTACTGAGGTAAGAAGCCTACGAACTTCACTGAATGCTACGACTACAGATCAATTCAGCTCAATGCTGCAAGCCAAACTAATAAAATACCAACAGCCTCTAGTCTGACTATAGCCCTTCCTCCACGTTTCTCTRAATGAAAAGCACCTATGATCCAGGGAGTTGCAAACAGCTCTCCTTCCAAGCACATTTTGTGCTTTGATCTTTTCATCCCACCACACCAAATACCACAGAAAACACGGAAGTGCCTCTGACAATTATAAAGTACCATTGGGTGTCATCATCTGCAACCACCAGACAGGCTCTTACCTACATAGTCTGGGTATGTTCCATATGCAAACAGACTCAGCAACTGGAAATAAGCAGCATTAGGCCCTTCAGCAAGCTGGATGGAGAGAAAATGGGAGAAATTCCATTTAATACAATATTATAGTGGTAGATGGCTTCTCCAGAGCACATTTTAAATCTACAAATGACAAACATGATAAACTACATAGCACAAGTCTTAAAGAACTAGACGTTTTTCCAGCAGTTTCAGACTCAGGATGATGCAACCATGTACCAGAATTTAAATGCAGCCTGGACTGCCAATTAGTTTACGCAGCATCTTGGGAGGTAAAAAAAAAATAAAGCAACTCTTAATTTTAGCTGGCATCCTAAGGGCCAGCTCTTCTCATCATATAAGAGGCCATCAGACACCAGTGTTGGTTGGTTAAGCACTTGTACTCTTACTGGGAAAACTAAGACAGCTACCTGCAGAGCAACAAAAGACTTCCAAAGCAAAAGAAGCTAGAACATTGTAAATTGAGTGCATTTGAAAGTAACAGCTCTGCTCTCACATAAAAAATACTCTGCTTGAAAAATTTCAGCACTAACAAGTGAATTTTGTTGAGATGTTGCTGTTTTTTAAATATCACTTGCTACACATAGATCCTTAACTATGGAAGCATTTTAAAACATACCTAAGAGGCCAGGAGGAGCTGAGCAAGCAAGCTGAACTTGCTCTATGCCACATCAGGTTGAGTATCTCTGCAGCTGGAGTGGATTCCCTCACTGTAGTAAAGGGGACTGCTGGCAAGACATTCTCTTTAAAAGCTCTGGAATTTATTTTGCATCTTGGTTTGAAAGGCTTTGGACTTGGTTAGCRCTCAGGCCTGATACACTAGACATCTGTTCACAAAGATTTTTGGAGAGCATCAAGGTTATGCTTTCCAGGACAACTAAAGAGCAAAGATTTTGTTGTTGTTGTTGCTGACTGGCTAGATGCCTTCTTAAAATTGTCCCTGTGCTGCTGCCAGGAGTTTGCTAGCAATCGCATAAGAGAGCGAAGCTTTATAGAGGTATCTTTTCAAGATCTAAATGTATGAAAACAATAGCAATGCCACTCTTGAATTTATCAGATCCTTCCAAATCACTGTATGGCTCTTCTATGACACAAATATCTCAGAATTCTAATAAATCATGTCAGGCTCTTCCTGGARCAACCATTTTACAAGCAAAGGGTGGAAATTGCTGGGGATCCTTTATACTGGGAGTGCAGAAGGGACATTAGGAGAAGAATTTCTCTCTTACCTCTTGCACGTTTGTTAACTCCAGCAGCTCTCCGAAGACATAAACACCAGGAGCCTCCAGCACTTGGTTTATAAGGGCAGTCAGAGCTGAGCCACTCGTGCCTTTGGCTAGTAAAATAAACTGTTCAAGAAGATTGCAGGATGGCTTCTGTTCTCCTGCCATTCTAAGTTTTTGAATCTGTCAAAAAATACATACATACATATATATATATATATATATATACACAAAACAAGAACTGCAAGGATATTTTTATTATGTCTACTAGAGGCGAGCTAAGTCTTTCTCCTTCCCAAAGCTCATTCCATATCACTGAAACAGAAAGTCACTCCATCTTTGTGTAGAATTTATCCTCCTTGCAGGCCCACATATTGCACCTTTCTCTTTCAGGTTAGCTACAGACCACATGTGAACATAAAACTCCTATTCTTAGTCTAAAAGAAGAAGGGATCTGGTGGGTAAACAGCTAACTGGCCTGTATATAGTTACCAGTCAGCTATTTATGCACCAGAGCCCTTCTTCTTTTAGAAGTTGCACAGTTTAAGTGTTTTGGGTTAACTAGGAAGCTTAAGTGATAACAATACCCTTTCTACAAAGGCTCTATTTAAGTGCTTGTGAAGAGAGGCCTTTGTCTTCAGCTGTTGCTGACATTTTTGATGTGCATGCTGATGACTCCCAGCACCAACACTTGGTGTTCGCRATGTAAAACACTCCTTGTTAACAATTTCAACAAAATAAGCTATCTTTTAAAAACAGCTAGGATTTCCAAAGCATTCCAAATTCATGCACCAAACAGAATGCTTAGCGGACACGGGTTCCTTCACGTTATGATTATATCAGATAATTTTCAAGTTGGGTAGCTAGCCATTACTCTAATGAAGAAGTTGGACACCAGAGAAGCTGTGTGTCACTCTGGCCGATCGCTAGGACCGTGGCTGACCTTTTAGAGGGCTGTATAGTCACACTGGTGTTTACATTGTTCTGGGCAAATTAAAACTTTTGAAAACAACAGAGCTGGCTTCAGCTTTTAGACAGCTCCTGGCTAAATATGCTTCACTCCACSCCACTAGCTGTAAATGGTCTCAGCCTCAGGGAGCAATCTTTCACACCATCTTTTTGCACAGATTTCAACGCTCTTAGCTTAAAATCTCTCGGTGCATCTTTTCACTAAAGGCACTTGTGGAGCCTGACTGCTACCAGTTTGCAAATGAGAAATCCCTGCAATAGAGTAACACTTTGTGGGGCTTTCTGACCCACCTAGCAGCACATCACTGCTCTTCTCGCTGCGCACAGAYAGGGAAGCAAAGCGCAGGACAAACAATCTCCTCAGGACTGCACGTGAAGTGAAAAAGCCGGGTGCAATATATTTGAGGATTCCCAGGCTGCGGTGCTGTCTCCCAGGGTGAAACCACAGGCGGGTGCAGATGATTACAAAGGGCCCTTTGGTTTATCCATGCCTTATTAAGAGAGGAATGCAGCTCCGCTGCCCGTCCTGAGCGCCCGCTTAGACAGCCCTATGAGACTGCCCTCATGCACAACCCTGCTACCCCGCTGCTCCTTCCCAACCCACTCACCCTGACAACAAAGTGACTGGAGTGCACGTTAAAGAAGGAGCTTGCCCCCAGGCTGCGAAAACCCCTCTGCGGGGATAAACCGGCCCGCTCCCGCAGCCCGGCCCGCTCTTCCCTGCTCCAAGGCGCCCCGAGGGAGCAGGCGGCACCGGCGGGGGCAGCTCGGGGCTGAGGGCGGCCAGGCCCGCGCGGCAAGGAGGGCCCCGGCCCTGCCGCCTCGCCCGGCTCCGCGGGGCCGCTGGGTCCCGCTCCGGGGCCGCTCGCCCCAGGGCGGGGAGCCGCCCGCTGCCGGCGCGGGGACGGGCGCGAAGGAGAGAGGAGGCGGCGGCCGCTCCACACCCGGCCCTGCCCGCCGTTACCTCGCCGTTATCTCGCCGCCTTCCTCCCGCCCTGCAGCTCCCGRCGCCCGCCCCGCCGCACCGCACCGCGCCTCAGGCCGCCATGATGGCGGCGCCGGTGTCCCGCGCTCGGCGCCTTCCCCCGGAACGCGCGGCCGCGCGCCGAGCGTTCCGGCCCCGCCGCCCACCGGGGCGGGGAGCGCGGGAGGCCCCGGCCCCGCCCGGCGCGAGGGCTGAGGGGGTCGGTGCCCCCCTCACCCCCCCCGCCCCGCTCCGGTCCCGCGCGAGAGCGGGGAGCAAATGGCGGCGGGGGGCAAAGGGAAGGGGGCTGAGGGCAAATGGCGGCGGGGGGCAGAGGGAGGGGGGCTGAGGGCAAATGGCGGCAGGGGCAAATGGCGGCACCATGGGGGCATCGCCTCAGCCTGGGGTGCGTCTGGTAAGGGCGACGGGGCAGTCCCCGCTGCTTCAGGACAACTGCGGGGTAAAATACTTTAAATAGCTTTAAATACCATCTCAATGGCGGCCATGCAAATATGGAGGCTGACATCGAGCTGAACAGCAGCGCTTCAAAGGAAAGACATCAACGAGGGAAATGATCTGCTGATTCAGATCCTAACTTGTATCCCAGTGATACATGGAATCACTAGGGAGCCTGTGTTTAAGGAACACACACTGCCGTGCCAAGCTCTGGGACCGCTTAGCCTCGTTCTCCAACTAGGAGGCTGCAGGGAAAAGCAATTCATAATCCAGTTCTTCTTGTAGCTGAGGGCTCTACAATTATAAATATGTCCCTGTGCTGACCTCAAATAATCTGTCGTCTTTCCCAAATGTGGGCTGGGTAAAATGCCAACCAGTCTGGGAGGCGAAGATTACAATAAGCCAGATGACAGATGAGTGAGGTGTGGGAGAGTGCTACAGCCATGGGATCAAAAAGGAACTTGTGGATTTGGGTGACAGTGAAAAGCAGGAAGCATGATATCAATCTGTTTAATTTCCCTGGCCTACCCTGAGGGATTGGGAGTAAATTTCCAAACCCCAGACAGCCAAAGAATTTCAAGATAATGCTTTTAGCCGGTTGTCCTTGCCTTGACCCTTGCAGACTCTTTGCAACTGGCACCTCTCTTTTGTACTCGAGCCCTTTTTCTGAAGACAGCTGGACACGATGGACAGGATTTGATGTAATGCTCAGCACCCTTGGTGGGGAGAGGGTGGAAACGGGGTGGGATGGTTGGATTAATGATCGCAAGGAGACCTGCTGGGCCCGGAATGATCGAGTGGGAAGCCCCAAATGAGGATTTACAGTCGGGGGCTGCAGACAGTCCTGCAGCCTGTTGTGTCAGCTGGAGTCCCGGCCTGCATGGCCTGCTCAGGACCAYGCAGGGTCGGATCCTGAATTACTGTGGCCTCAGCGCCTAGACCTGCCTGTCCCCTCCCGAAAGCCAATTAACCCCCTTTCCTCTATTGCAAATCTCACCTCTCAGGCCTCARTCTCAGGCACTGAAATCCCTTTCGCCTCCCATTTCCCCATCTGCATGCCTGGCTCTCCCACTCCTGCCTTGTCTGGGAGAGCAGACCCTGGCACTGCCGCAGGCAGGACGTGGAGCAGGTTACTGCGCTTCAGGTGCCCTGCGGCCAGCTGCCGTGCCTTGCTTCTCATCATCTCATTTGTGTAATGACATCTGTCTGTAGACTGCAATTAATGTGCCTGTGCTGGTGCACACTCATTTGCTGAGGTGGGGTGAGCCTGGCTAGACTTGTGGCATCCCTGGCAGCGGCAAAACGTCCCTTGTGCTCCGTCTGCAGGCAGCGGGTCTCATTTAGCCATGACACAGCACTCCCCTAGAGCAGCTGTTCTCTCTCAGGCTCCATCATTTCCTGGAAAACAGTTTAATTAAAAGCAAGCAGGTTTCCGTCTCTCTTGGGGGCACAGCAGTCATTTGGGATACGGCACTGCAGCAGCGTCTCGGGGTATTGGTGCTGCAAAATGACCTGTGCAAAGGAGTAACATTTCAAAGCTACATTTTTAGTGTGTGCTTTGTTCCGGTGGCTTGACAGTTTGGGTCTATTTTACACTTACGGGTTCCATTCATCTTTTGAGTCCTTGCATATGCTACAGCCTTCAGAACGGATTAAATCTTCCATTTTATGGCAAGAACCAGATAATGCCTGAGAAGCTGAAGTGGGGCCATTAAGGGCAATAAACAACTGAACAGTTGAGTGGGGCCGGACAATGGAGGCTGCCAGCTGAGCCATTGACTGCTCCTCCGGCCAGTCCTCCTGCGGTGGGAATGGAAAAATGCCAAGAGACGCAGAGATGGATCACGAGGCACCAGAAGTGGCTTGAGATTCTCTAGCAAAGGGGTCCCCATGAGCAATAAACCACGCAATAGAGCCCAGTCTGTGATGTGGGCAGCTGGGGTCCTCTCCAGGACACAGACCAGGAGCCAAAAGTCTCTGGGGAGGTGGGAAAGCAGCAGGAACAAGAGGGTTTTTGGGGGCCCCTTCCCAAGCCCAGTACCCTCATCTGCTACTCTGAGAATAAAGCATATTTCTGTTAACAGTTCTTTAGCTAAGAAGCTGCAAATCAAATTGTAGACTAGCACTGGCCAGTAGCGAGGAGCTTTCAAGGGATGAATATCAGAAACTCTTCAGGAGGGCAGTGGGGCTTAGCCTGTGACCCCGAATTCGCTGCACCTGGTCCCTGGGGTCCCACCGTGGAGGGAAGGGGTGTCACCTGAGCAGAGGGCTCCACGTGTTGGGTTGAGGCTGACACACTCTGGGCTTCGCAGCAAATTGGATGTGAAAAACCCCAGGCCTTGCACAGCAAGGGAACTCAGCCAGGGCTATAACCAGCCATTCYGTAATTTGCTTAAGCCACACTTATATCTCATCTGCACAGGGAGAGAGAATTACCTCCTTAATCACTCCTAACCAGGTCCTCCAGCACCGCTCCCATTACCCTGCAGATACRGTAACCCTGGAGAGCAGCGCACACCCGCATTTGCCTCCAGAGCTGGTAAAGCTCAAATCCAGGACTAAAATAGAAATGGAAATATATGATTGCTGGCTATTTCCCATGGATCATTTTTGCAACCTCTAGCTGGAGCCTGCAGGTAAAAAGCAATCAGCTATTACCAAGTCCTGCTGCATTAGCCCCTTTTAGGTCAGCCTGGGGGTCTGCYGGTTAGGCCGTCCTGATGCCTCCTGGCCGCTGAGCCTGGCTTTGGAGGACATAGGAAGCTCTCCTCGGCTTTGGAGATGCAGTTCCTTTTTTTTTTTTAAGGGACAAGTAAGGGGATGCCCAGCTGTCTCATCCTCTTTTAAACTGCTATTGCAAGCTCTCGCCTCCACCCACGCAGCGTTCTGCGTGCCGGGAGATGTTAATCCATTTTATCTTTTAATGTTGGCATTATCTCTTGACTCACCCCATCTCTTCCCCTTGTGATTCTGCTATCAGGTCCCTTTTAGGCAGCAGATAATTCACCTTATTTCCTAGCCCTGCCTGAGCAAAGAGACTGTAATCCAGGGTAATCTCCGCATGCAGTAGGGTCATGGAGCCCCAGGGGGAGACTCTGAGAACGCGGTTTCCCTCAGAAACTGATGCCTGAGGCTGCAAAGTCACCTGTAAGGGATGGATATCTGGAACAGCGTGATTAGCAGCACAGGGACTCCCTCGTCTTGCAGCTGCCGTCACATAGGGTTCAGTGTCTTGTTCTTCAGAGCTTTTCAGAGCTCCTCCCCGGGCTGCTCATCCTGCCAGGCAGACCCCAGCTCTGCCCCTTCTTTGCGTGCACATCCCTGTGTCCCAGCCACATTCCTGGAGTCCCTTCCTGCAGTCCCAGTGCTAGCATGGGACTGGCGAGAAATTTTCCACTGGTTGTCTCCAAAAAGAGGGCTAAAAGCAGTAAAAGTGGTTTTATGRTTTTTGTTTTTTGCCTTACATTTCATTCTGTTCAATAAGGTGGATTTAATTGAAAACTTGTGGAGAGATGTTATCTCAACATGGGAGTTTACCAGTAACCCAAATAAAACACTTTATATTAAGAAGACATAAATTAGGCTAAATTTATCCAGGATTAGGATTTGATTCCTAAAGCATCTGTAATAATTTTACTTTCCAACTTAAGGAGAAATAAAAGCAAGTTTTGCAGCCATGGCCGTGTTAGAGACCAAGCAGCTGTGCAGCCCCTTCCATCGGGAGTGGGGTGGGATGAGGTCCCAGTTTATGAAACCATCTCCTAGTCCTGCTGAGCTGGTGGAACAGCACTTCATTCACCTGCACCGTGGGGAGCAGCAGCGCTTGGGTTGTGCAGCTGCAGGCGTCTTCTCACCTGCAACAAGAGCTGTGACACCTGCCAACTCCCTGTGCCCTGGAGACAGGAAAAAGAGGGAAGTTTTCAGTGTGGGGGTGGCACAAAGGGATAGCGAGACGTGCAACAACTTTCATGCAAGCGGATCAGAGAGCTGATGTGCTCAAGGGTGTTATTGTGCGAATGCAGCCGAAGGGTTTTGAGAGGAGAGAGATCCCAGGGTTTCTGTCACTGCCTGAGTTGGTGTCACAGGTTTCGCTGCTGCTCATGCCCAGAGCTGCAGGAGCTCAACACTTCGGCCGTCTGTGATTCGGGGGGGTGCAGATGTGAGAGATATAGAAAGTGCCTCTACCTCCCTRTACTGCAAGGTGAATTTGGGAACTCTAGGATTTGATAAGAAAACTCAAATGCACTGACGCTAAATTTCAGAAACCCTCCTACCTCTGTGCTCCTTTCCTGTCACAGCTCCCCTGCAAACAACAGGGACTTCCCCACAAGGCAGTATCAGCCCCACASGGCCAAGAAGTCCTTTAATGCTGCAGGATCTCCCAGCTGTGAGATCTATCTGTTTGCTGGCTCCTCCATCTCCCTGCACCTGCACAGAGGCAGGATTGAGCTCCCGATGTCTTCCCTAATCCAGTAGGTCCTACTTCCCGCCTCTTCAGCAACACCTAACCATTCGCTTTTGCCTTCTTCACATCTGCCTTTTCCCTTGCTCACCTTTTATCCCTACCAGTCTTTTCTCCTTGGAGAGCCTTAATCCCTCTTCCTCAGATAGGGTGTGTAATTGCYTGCTATCTGCAACCCAGGAAGGGCTCTTAATAAAAAAGATATATATTAACATAGCGTGCCCCTGGCTTGCTGCCCAGATTCAAAACGATCTGTTCATACACTTTTAAACGGATGGTGTGGAACTGAGCATGGATCACATGCGTCAGGAAATAGATGCTATCTATTTTTATTATTAAGATCCCTTATTGGTTATACTGCCAGTGGCCTTGTCTTTTTGTGTTAAATGTGACCTTTATTAATGCTCATGTTCTCCTCATTTGTACAGGGGGCGATTTGGAAGCAGGCAGAGCCGTAAGCGTGTTGATGGTGCGGTGATTATGAGCCGGTCCTTTCTGAGGTACTTTGAGCAGGGCCAGATTACAACTGCTGCGTTTATTTTCCTCATGGTTTACTAATGCTTCGTATTAGCTGTGCTTGGGTTGTTAATGGAGGAGTTAATTTGTCGTGCTCATATTAAGGAAGGGCCTGGCTTCTGGGATGTGCTGATTAGCCGGAGACTTTCTTCCAGTAGCTACTTTATTGCAAACAAAGGCCAGATTGCTGCAGTRCAAAGAGGGCTCTTCTTGTGCCCTATTTATTTTAAACTTTCTCCATAATGCTGGCCCTTTTGGCTCCAGTCTTGCTACGTGCAGAAGAGCAGTTGCTCCACATATAAAARCAGAGGCAGCGGGAGCAGCAGCATAATGTAAGCAGCCAGGTCTACAAACGCACCAACTTAATCCATCGCTTGAGCTCAACTTAACTTCTGTCGAACAGTTTGGAGGGCTGAATTTGCTGCACGACCAGCCCATCCGAGGGAGAGAAACGCGAACAGGGCTCGATGAGCCCAAGCAGCGTTGGCAGACCCCGCCGCGGGCAGCGCCGCGGCCAGGGCCGAGCCGCGCTGCGTGGATGATGGCCAGGGCCGAGCCGCGCTGCGCGGACGGTACCGTGAAGGGCCGTGCGCACGGTGCGGGACGGTGCCGCATCCCGGGGCTGAGGCCGCTTCCAGCACGGGAACCGGACGCAGCTCCTGCCAAGCAGAGGCGCCCGGCGAAGGCAGCAAACGCGGACGGGCGGAGCGCACTCGCGCCCGGGGGGATTCTTCCCTCTTCAGGGCTCCTCGGCGCTCACTTCCCCTCACAGGAGTCGCACCGGCAAGGCCCCGTTCCAGCGCTCGGCGACCCGCGAGGCGGACCAGCGCAGACGGGCGTTTCTGCTGCCGCCAGGGCCCCCCGTAGCCCCGCTCTGTCGCTCCGCCCTTRGCTGCGGGCACCCGGTAAGGCCCGGGCGGCTCCTCTCGCGCCCGCCCCTCACCCGCCTCCGGGCTCGGCCTCCCGCCGCCAGAGGGCGCCCCGCCCGCCGCCCGGGGGCGCCCCCGCGCGGGCGCTGCCGGCAGCTCCGCCGCCCGCGCCAGGTTTGTCCCGCGGCGACTCCCGTCCCGCGGCGACGTCAGGCCTGGCCGGGGCGCCGCGCCTTAACGACCGCTGCGCAGTCGCCCTTGAATGGGAGGGGAGGGGCGGGGGGGTCCTGAGGCGCCGCTGTCACCGCCGCCTCCCCGCCCAGGCCCGCGGAGCCAGGCGAGCCCGGCGCAGCCCCGTCCGCCCGCGCGCCGCGCGGCGCCACCATGTCGGCCACGGACGAGCGGGCCAAGGAGATCCTCAGGGGCTTCAAGCTGTATCCGCCCGACGGGGGCGGGGGGGGCCGCGGCGCGGGCGGGCCCGGGATGCCGGGGTGGGGTGCGGGGGGAGGCGGCGCGCGGGGTTCGCCCGAGGGCGGTGGCGAGGCCCCACCCGCGGCGGGCGGTTGCCATGGACACCGCCCCCCCCATGCCCGGCGTGGCTGTTCCCGGCGGCGCCCGCCCCTCCCGCCGCGCGGGGGTCCCCCCCTCCCGGGAAGGGAGGGGATGGGGGCTGCATCCCGTGGGAGGAAGGGAGGGAGGGATGGAGACACCCCGCGCTCCGCCGCGAGGTCCCGGCTCGGCCCCTGCCTCGGGACCCGGCGAGCAGAGCTGTCCAGGGGCAGCGGGAGCCCCGAGGGGCCGGGTGGGCTGCAGCCCCGCAGGACCCGCTGCCTTCCCGGGAGCCGCAGCTGCCCCATTCCCAAGGAAGCGCCGCCCGCGAGCACAGCAGCAGCTCCGCGTCCCGCCGCCCTTCTCCACGCCAGGTACCGGCACTCSTTTCCTTGGCTCTCAGGTGTCTTTTCGTGCTGATGCTAAGGAGCCAGCGGGGCCGCGGCCTGGCCGTGCAGCCCCTCCTGCAGCTTGAGCGCTGCGGCTCTCCCAAGGCCACCTCAAATATATTATCTGAATGTAGATACACTCCTGGCAAACGAGGCAGATCTGAGCTTSTAAGAGGGGTGAGGCTCTGCACACACCCTCCAGCCCAGGATTTCAATGGAGAAAGGCTCAGCACAAAGGCCCCTGGGCAAACCACACGTGAGAGGAGCATACCACAATTATAAAATGAAGTTACTGTCTTTTATTATAGCATATCATAAGCATAGAGGAAAGATGCAGGCTTCCCAGGCTGATTTTTTACAAACAAGGGGAAAACCACTTAAATCACATAAAGGAGAGAAATGCTCGCCTTGTCTAATACTGATATTTCTGCTATTTTTGTCAGCAAGCTGTTTGTAATCTGTGCACCATCTGTAGCAGCATCCGAGATGCTCTAGGTTTGCTTTAGCCAAATAGCTACTATCAAAGTATAATAATTCAACTTTTGAATTGCTGTTCCCTCCCCCAGCCTATTAGTGCAGCTGGAKCCTTTGCTTGTACAGTAGCAATATTGGTAATTCCTTTAATAATTGCTTTAAGATGTAATATTTTAGTTGTCAAAATGCTTGACCAGTCTTGAGGTACAATTAGCTAAATCAGAAGCTCTCAGCAAGATCAGTGGGGCAGGTTGGTAGAAATGAAGAACAGTTGGAAAGTTGAGCTTAGAGAACAAACTTTTGACAGCTCTATGCTTGTATTTGTATATGGTTATCAAAATTTAAGTTTGGCTTTGTATAGTTTTGGATGAAATAACTAACTCCRTAGTTTGTTGGCATAAATACAAAGKGTTGGGCTTTTGTTTAAACCTTTGAGGTGTTATGTCAGACAAACAAACTTTCTGTGTCAATCAGCTATAGCGTAGGCAAAAGTCTTTAATGGAAATACTCTGCACTTCCCAGCTGAAAGGAAGACTGAACTTGTGGTTCTTATGTGGTTATCAAAAATCATTATTATCATCCCTTGGGAAACAAACGACAGTATGTTTTTAGGCAATAAAAATCTGGATCATGATTCTCCAAGAAGATACTAGAATGATAGTTCAGATGATAGTCTATCATAAAGGCCCAACAGCATAAAAACCTGTAAAACCAAGGAGCAARAAAGCTATTTCTCAGAAAAAGGAAAAAATCTAGAATTGGAATTTTTATACAAAGTTAAAATAGTCAAAGAACAGTCTTGCTGTGTCTTTAATAAACCAAAAGTAGTGTGGCTGAACACACATTCCTCACTTATGAGAGAAGAAAGCCCTGAGACACTGCACCATCCACACAGGAAACTGCTCATGCCCAGATCTGACCATGCTCACTGCAAGACAGCCATCCGCTCAGACTGCCATTTCCTTTCCTAAGAGCAAATACGTATTCTAAACAATATTACCTTTTAAATAAATGCTTTGTCTTTCTGCCCACTCTACTGCTGTATCTGCTATCTTAATTCGCTTAAGATAGAAAGGAAGGAACAGGTCCTGAAAAAGCTGTAAATTTAACTTTAGAACACTTGAACTTCTTTCTCCTGGCACAGGGAGGAGTTGACTCCAACTTAGGCAAATCCTGCAAACTTGGCACCTGAAGCTGTGCTTGCTTCAGCACAAGAAACTAGCACAGTGGTACCCAGGGTATGAATGGACTRCATTCCTTGTGTAGTTAGATCAGTAGGGAGGTCAGAATGTGTCACTGAAGGAGTAGATCTCCGAAATGCTTGCTTGCTTTAACAACTAAAAATCTCCTGATGTGGAAATTCAGTTCACACAGGGTAGTTCAGGGTTGCCTCAAACAAGTTCAGCGTGCATGTGGCTCCCAAGAAGAGACTGACTCCCAGCTTTCCTGCTGACTGGGACATGTGCTGTGGAAATTGGATTATATCTGCAGTCCGCCCCCTGACTTCAGTCACAGACACTCCTTCCTTCCCCTGTGACACAAGTACAGAAACATGTTGTGGCTACTGTCCTTAGATCCAACCCAGAAACAATTGCTGCCTTCTCAGATTTTACTATTTCCTGAGAAGATGAAAACTAGAAGTATTTAGAGTTTGTAGGGATATCATACTCAAGAATTTTTATGGCATCAGTTAGTGTGCTGTCACCAATCAATTTGYGAGTTTGCTGCATAGCAACAGATGGAAAGCAGCTAGCCAGCAACTTTTATAGCTTGTCATTTCTTGTGGACTGTATTTGTTAAAAAATACTTACAGTATGTTCATGAGTTCTGTTTTGAAGGCACTCTTAAGTAGTACAGCTTCTACTAGGAAGAYACAGTATCTGTGCTAGCTTAGGGCACTGTAAATACAGACTTGTTATTTGTCCATCAGCAATGTCAGGTCAGGTGGCAGCTTAGTCCTCTGGAATGTTAGGCAAGTTCATTTCTGCAGGTGTTTATGCACAGCTGGTCCTGTAGTGCAGGAGGCTTCACTCTGCCAGTTTCCAGAAGATGAGCCAGTTATTCTGTCAAGTTAAGAACAGATTTTTCTTTTTCAAGCTACCTTTATATTTAACATTCTTCAGGTTCCATTCTGCCATTTTGTCTTTGCAATGAGTATACCAAGTATCATTAAATGCATGTTTAACATCCTTCATTGAAGAGCAACCTTGAATGTTTCCCTGTAGCAGTCAGAAAGCAGTATTGAGGAGTTACTTTCCAATGGCTTTTTCAACCCCCTGGGTAATTTGAGAGTTGCATTTATATCTTTGTCCCAATATAAAGTAACAATCATTTTATTTTATTTTATTGCATTGTATTCGCTAGAATAAGAAGCCTGTAGAAAACTTTTCTATTTACCCCAATTTRCCAGCAGTCAGAAAGCACATGCTTTGTTTCTGAAGTATTGTGTRCACTAGAAATATCTAGATAAGAAATACCAGGTCTTGGGCTGCGCTAGCTAAATCATATCCAGCTTTTGAAGGACCACACTTACAGCAGAAGTGTTACAGGAAGAAATGCACAAGGGACCTGAACAGGAAGAAAACTCCAATAAACTAAAAGCTAAAGAGCTAGTCAAGCTTCATAGCATAGTTAAGGTGCTAGACCCAACCTTCCAAAACATGAGCAAAGTACATCCATTTTTCTCAGTTCTAAGTCTTAAAATACAAGCTATCACCTGCTTTACTGCTGTACAGAGCAATCTCATCAGTACTGAACTTCCACAGTGTTAGTTGCCGCGTGGGCGTTTCTTAGTTCAGAGTACAGTTGGATGCAGACTTCCGTTTCAGGCTGCACAGCTTGAACTATCCTGTGCTAATCAAGAAGTCTCCTAAAACAAGTCAATCTGCTGAACTTAAGCACAAAGACACAACTTTCACAACAGGATTGTGATGGAGCTATGAAATGTATTTGTGATCAGTATTAGCCGACAGCTGTAGCTCATACACTCTACAGCATTTGTAAGCAGAGCTTTCCATTCTTCAAATCCTCAGAATTCCCTCTAGGGCATGCCGCTGTCTCCCAACACTTTCTCCAATGTTCTTGCCATTATTTTTCTGTCTACAAAATGACTCTAGGAGGGTAACCCATTAATCTCTATCCCTCCTCCCAAGAACTGAAATGAGAAATAGTTGTAGCAGAGACTATTACTTCCATGAACAGAAACAACTTCCATGAACATTGTTTTGCAAACAATGACATTTCTTCCCCTACTTCTACCCTGCCTCTGCCCTATGCACACAAAGAGGTCTAACCAAACAGAAGTCTTGTCTGTCAGTCCCTAGAACAGCCCCCAAAGTTTTGGGCTGGTTTCATGCAACATCCARAAATTAAAGCCAAACAAGAGCTCCATAAAGCTGAGTTTCCGACCTATTTATTAGGTCAGTAGATTTTTAACTGCTTAACTAAAAAATGGTCATTTATTGCCTTATTTACAAAGCAAGATAGCAGCTTTAATTGCCCTTTAAAACACTTTGTTCTGAGGTTTCCTGTGTGCTTGTCCTCAGATCTTGGTTTAATACTTCCTACAGTTGAATAGAGATGAGTCACCAGTCTCTTTGGATAAAAGGAGACACCAGCCAGCTRACAGAGGAAACAGGCACCCTAGAAGGTGAGAAACAGGCTGCCCAGAGAGGYTGTGGAGTCTCCTTCTTTGGAGATCTTCAAAACTCACCTGAATGTAGCCCTGTGCCACGTGCTCTAGGTGACCCTGCCTGTGCAGGGGGCTTGGACTAGATGACCTCTGAGGTCCCCTCCAACCTTAAGCAYTCTATGATTCTATGATATTCTGGGGAAAGCCAAAACTCTCCTGAACTCCCAGTTAGTTTGCACAATACAATTCAGATAAAGCCTCTAAAAAATAACAAGTTTGTGCTCAGCATCCCCTTTGTCTGGTTTCTGGGAAAGTGGTAAGTTATTTCTTTGCCAGACATACAGCTTGTCATTTATATAATCTGAAAGCTTGGTGGTCTGTTGCTCTTAAACTTGCATTGCCACTTCGTTATCTRTAACTTCAAAGTACTTTACAGATGCAGGAGCTGTCAACATTTCCCAGTTGCTTTAACAGAAGAGAGCAAGCTCCCATAGCTTCAAGATAGAAGGTCTGTTTCAGAGAAGCCCGTATTTCATGTAGATGCTCCAGCCATGTACTTGTCATTCAAGTATAATCATGGTCAAGATGTCTTTACCATACCAGAATCATTGCTAGTGCTCACTGGTTTATTCTGCTGTTTGATGAACTGACTCTAGCAGACTAAATGAACAAACTCTGCATTTCTTATTCATATATAATAAGACCTATTTGTAAATAATGCAAGAACTAACTTCAGGTTGGCTTTTTCTTTTTTAAAAGAAGCATCCTGCTTGGTTCTTTGATCATTAAGACTTTCTGCTCCACTCTCACTCCCATTCACTGGACAAAAGTCATGGCTACCAGTGATGGGTTAAGGCATCTCCAAGCWAGCCAAGCTGGGAAGAACAAGACTCTGTAATTCTACATGGAGTTAGCAARATAGGCCATTATAGTTTGAGTTCTGACTTTGACTTGTCATATGTGATATATGAGCCCGTTTCCCTATCTGAAAGCTGGCAAATTCCAAAGCAACTTTGCATTTGAGTCCACACCATCCAATAAAGATAAGCTTTAAAGCTGAGTTTGTTGATGTTTAGATAATCAAACAATACAGTCAAACAATACAATCAAAAAATTAATTACTAGTCTCCCRTAGATGGGCAAGAAGCAGAGACCTTGCAGGTGGAACATGAATGATCATCCTCTATTTAATTGTTTTTCCTGCATGTCAATATAGCGAAGTGTCATCAAGTGTTAGTTCTGTAAGCAGCAGGAGAGCTGACTTGTTGCACTCGTTGTTCAACACACCTAAGGAGCAGCAGTATTTACACTTATGTGCAACAAGCTACAGCACTGAGCAATAACAAAAGCATTAGACTCTGCCATTTCTTCTTCCAAGACTGAATAAGGAGCACCTACAAGAAAAGGAGGTTCAACATGGGTAGCATCACCCCCCAAGCATTACAAACAACAAAACAATACTTTTGTTCAAAATAGTTCAATAGCTCAAAGAAACAGTAGTTTAGAAAAGCATCACTTAGTGTTAAGGTGCCCACATCCATTTGACAGTGTGTCCCAGACAGACTGCAGAAAGGAAAGCTGTGCTGAGGACACGCACACTGTTATTGAGGTTCTGTAGAACAGCAGCAGCAACCAGGRTCCCACCTGCATATTATAAAAATGCTTGTTTGACTGCCAGAACTTTCACTCTGGATTATGAGCATCAAGTTCCATTGTCATATTTTTTTCCTGTAGCACGTTTCACTGATCCAAAGTATGGTTTCCTTTAAATCATTTATATCAGAAGTCTTTAGGCATGAGCAAACCTTTGATTTGATTATGTTTGTGACTAGGCTATCTGAAGACATTCTTCCAGAAGACAGGCTTAGGTAAAAGGCAAGAGCAAGAAAAAAAGGGCATTTTTACATTCAATCAGCTTTTTGGATAACAGTGCACAAAAACATCAGATTATTAAATTTATCCATTCCTACATTGAAAAGATTAACTAGCTTGGAGCAATAGACTTGCATTAGAAAGAATGCAAGTACTGAGGATTTTCCTTCTCACAGTGATTTTATTCAGTGTTTATATGGGTCAGGCAATATACTGCACGTGTGCATGAGCTTTGTCTGCTCTGCATAAGTCAGAGCTTTGTTTAGTCCCCAGAACAGCAGATATTGCTCTTTTTCTCTCCCCCCTGCCCCTATACCTGCTATTGAGATAGTAGGGGATCTTCCATTTAAAATTAATGTATACCCCACATAAGCAGACTGTCTGCTTCTCCCCTCCCCACTCCAGAGGGCTTTAAGTCTTTCCTAACTGAAGGTTACAAACCTTGACTCCAAAAAAAAAGAATAAAGAAAATATTTGATGTTTTATTAAGTGTCAGAAACTTTAATCAGGGACTGCCTGCTGGGTGAGCACAGAGTTAATTTCTGAAGTCTGGCTTACAAAGGCAAAGGAAATTCTATTGTAGGAGACAGTGAAAAACTGCTTCTTTGCATCGCCTCAAATAAAAATTCTGGGTAGGGGGAAAAAGTACTTAATGAGCCCCCTCTTAGGGGGAATCCTTTTCTCCATTCATCTGTTAATGTGGCCCCTTGCTAGTTGCACTCTTCATTATGCAGTACTCACACCCTTCTTGCAGGGAAACACTTGAGCAGAAGTGCAGAAAGCAGCATTTCCCACCTGAGCTTATCACTGCAGGCTGGACCAGGCCAGCCCCACTGCAAGTTGGATGGTAAGACAAAGACCTACTGCCCTGTAACACAGGGACCCTTTATGGAGATACTATGGACATTGATTCCAATTTAGAAAACTATAGGGGAGGCTCTTTGCTGCATTAGAAGGACTCCTATCTCCTAATCACACAGTCCAAATCACAGCTTCTCTTGTAAAAGTTTTTTTCACTAGTATCCAAGGTGAGCACAACTGAAAGGACTCCTTTCCCCCTTAAGTCACATTAGCCTTAAAATGATGTTTAAGGAGAAGAACAACATGGCTTTGTTGCTGCCGAGAGAAGGAGGACACCTGCAATGTGCCTGCCCTTGCGTTTTGTGAGGCAAGTGCTTCCCTAGGAGCAGCAGGGCTGGCTGGAGGTTTCCTTCCTTGGAAATAGCTGCTCATTAGCTGCAAGCAGCTGCTTGTTACCCTCTCAGGTTTGTGAGCAGAGCTGCCCAGCTGAGCACCGCAACCTCCTGTTTGTCAGGAGGAGACATAGTAGCTTAAACAGCTTAAGCAGTAGGTTAAGGAGCAGAGACCTGTGGTAGTCAAGTAGATCAGGTTAGCAGTTTTACAAACAGCTCAGCTGTTAGATTTGAGGGAGAAAGTAACAAGCAGCTGGGGAGAGCTGTGACCAGCAGCACTGCTATCAGCCAGCTGCTGCTCTCAGGTGTCACCTTCACAGCCTCAGCCTTGCAKCAGGTTAAGGTTTTCCTCAGTGCAGCCTTGGGCCACCTGCTCCAGCACTCACTCACCTGSTTCACACCTTATGTTAGCATGTCTGGTTACTACTGCAGCACCAAGTCTTTGGAAGCAGACTGCTGCCRTTAGGTGGACATACTAATATGCCCACAATAACAGAAAAATTGYTTCTCAAAATGCATTTCTTAGGACTTCAGTAAGGCAGTCATCTATTCTTTAGGCTCACTGTGCACATCTGATCTCTAGTATTAGCACCACATGACAAGTTACTGCCCCAGGCAAAGGCACAGGCAAAACCTGGGCACATGTAGCAAGTCCTTTTAGCAACATGATTCTCCCACAGCTCTCMTGAGGAAACATAGAAAGTCATTGGGTCAGAGTCATAAGCAACCTTGAAAAGCACATGTTAGYTTTTTCTCCCTTTTCTGGAGCAAGTATTTTGAAATAACATGTTGCTGACTATTTTATACTAAATGTATTCCAGTTGGGGCTGTTCACAGCATCTTAGTTAATCCATAAGGAATCATTACAATTACACTGTTGCCATAAAAATGCAGTATTTAAACAGCTCCAGGAAAGAGTTGTTTTATGTGCTTCCCCCTTGTAACTCCTTCAACAGAAACCACATTACATCATGATAATTTTGACTTTAAACACRGCTTTTATGAAGAAACATTTAGCTAGCTCCTTAGGGAAAAAGGAAAAGAACAAGCTGTGGCCCTACCATYGGGTTTTAGCTCACCATTCAAATAAGTTCAGTAGTTCTGGACTCCAAAAGCTTCAGAGCATCCCTCTTAAAATAACATGGACTGAAGGACTGCTCCCACAGCCCACATCATGCTCACCTCAGCAGTGCTCAGTGCTCCTGATGCAGCCTGGCCACATCCAGCTCCTGACACAGCCCAGCCCCACATTCTTCACCAGGMTTCCCACCCTTCTTTAAATACTCCCCTGCTAGAGGCAGGTGAAAACATTTCACACAGGTCCCCACAGAGGTTTTTTGCATTTGCTTAATTGACAAAACGTTAACTCCTGAAGTGCAGGAAGTATCATTCAGTACTTGTGTTTTATGCACAGATCCCAGCTTTGTCCTTTCTGTCAGGGTAGATGCAGTAAATGCACTGCAGATAATGTTAATATACAGCATTTTGTGAGTTTTGTGCATGTAACCTCAAAGCATTATCCTTCTCTTTAACATAAATTAGTTTGAAACATCAAATTAATACTTTAAAAATCATCATATTTGTACCACGTATGTGTAAATATAGCCCCTTAATAACTATGCTGTGAGATTTTTCACATTAATTGGAGTTCAATTGTCAGTAAAAATTAGTTACCTGAAAGAAGCGTGAGCTCCAGCTGATTGCATTATTTATACATGTTATCCTTCGCAGCAGACATAATGTATTTCAGCGTTTCGACTGAAAAGTACTTCAATATTTTTTGTATTAAACTTTTTCAAAATAAGATCTCAAGCAATCAGTATCTGAGAAATTAACATGTAGCTACAAGCTTGTTGAAGTAGGAAATTAAAATGCAAATCTCAACTGTAAACATAAAGTTATGTTTCCTTGATAATGAAAACCATAGTAATTATCTGGAAGTAATACGGTTCATCATTTTTTGTCATTTCAGAGAAATTTCAGTATCCCTACAATAATATTTTGGACCTGAATTCCAGTAGGTGCTAGAACAGAAATCTTGGCCCGGGTACTGAATCTCCCTCTTGTAGAGATTTCCCCCAGTGATATATTGAGGAGTTGCATATAAGTACAATAGTATATCTGTAGATCTCATATGTGCATTATTCAGAACCAAATATTAATAATCTGGCATCTCTAAACCAGTTTAGCATCAAAGTTAAGTTTTAACTCCCAATTACACAGTTTTGCTAGAGTGTTTTTCTAAACTGTTTGCTCTCTGTCCTGACTGATTTACTACGTAACACTAAATTGTGCATAAAATTGTGGAGTGGTTAAATAGTCCTGCTCCTAATCCAGATTGCAGATTTAAGCACTTCTGTTTTAGCAGGTTCCTAAAAAAAGCACATGAAGCCCTTGCTCTTGGGAGTTCTGCCTCAGTCTCTGTAAATTCCTGTTTATTCTTTCCTTCTTTGGCTGTTTTCAGTGCCCCTGGTCCATTTACAAGATTAATTTATCAATGCAGTGGCCAGTCATTCCCTCCTGGCTGTGTTTGCAATGTATTTTACTCTCTGCTTGGCCTGTCTGCTCCAAGTTTTCCTCCCTCCCTCAGAAGAGACAGGATAATGAACTTGTTTTCCCTGGGAAATCTTAGTGCTGTCAGTTGCAAGTGGAAGACAAGAATTGTTGGATCTGGATTGCAGCGTGTTTGCCATTAGGCTAATGTTCTGCTTTCACTTTGTTAAATCGCTTGCTTGTGCCCCGTGTAGCAGTTATTGATTTTATACCCTGTGTTTWAATGCCATGTGTTACTGAAACGAGTTGTCAAGCTCTCATTTGTACAGCAGCCTCGTGTCACGTCAGTGGAGATTATTTATTGCTTTGAGAAGCAGCAGTGCTGTGTCAGCAGAGGAAGGAAAGACAGTGCCCTAAAAGATACCACAAAATGGTATTTGTGGAGACTTGTGCTCCAGAGAGCCCCTGTAGTAGCTCCACTCTGTGACCTCCTTTTCTGCTGTCACTTGGAGAACCTCCAGCTCTCACTGTGATCTTGTCCTTTGAGTTTAGGGGACTGCTGACATTAACCTAAATATTCACATCCTTGCTTCCTATCCTGATGTGGTGTAGAGAGTGTTCGTAGTCACTATTGCCACGTTTTGATTGGCAGGGAGGATGATTTTTGTTTTCAGTGATGGGGACTCTGGTTGTAGGGGCTGTATTGCATGGTTTAGGTATGCCCATATCTCAAGCACACATGGCCTAACTTAGCGTATACATTTGTAGTTCAGGGAAATTCAAGCCGTTACTGTCCCCATGGATTGTATATCTGAGGTCCAATTTAAACTAATGCCAGGAAAAGGGTGGTTCATTTCCCTGCTGTGCCATGTCAGCATTTGTCCACGTGGACTTCTTGGAAGTGCTTCTCATAGCCCTTTCTCTGCCTGATTGGAGTATTTATTTTGCTTTTTAGGTGCCAGTCTAAGTACTGTTTTACTGTAAAATCTCATTAACATTAAATCCCCTGATGCTTCCTTAATTATATTTCAGGGATATTGTGTTGTTTTCTCAGAGAACCTCCTGTGATCTCTAGATGTACCCCAGGTGACAGAGTACCACTGGATTGGAACAGTGAGGGATGTGCCTTATGTGAGAGATTCCACAGCAGTGTTAAAAGTGCCGAGGTCTTCCTGGAGTTCACAGGATTACTGCCTTTAGTAAAAATGAGTTTCTTCTGCCCTAGCAATTCCAGTGTCACTTTTATGTTGCCAATATGCTGAGTGTGGCTCTAAGATGGAAATCTGTGCAGGCGCCGCTACTTCTGTTGCATTAGGTAGTTTTCACTCGTGTTATAAACACAAATCCTCGTAGACTAATTAGCAGCCATACCACAATGGTGACACTCCTTTCACCTTTTCCCTCCAGGCTCCATTGGCATTTGCTTTGAAAGCTACGTAAAGAGGATCTTTTCAAGGTTTATTTTCTTTCTGTCATTTTTCTAGCATCGCTTGGGAGAGAAGACATATGAGCACACCTGGAAAGGGAGGTTTGATTACCTGGCCTATTTCCCTGAATAGGCTGTAGAGCTGTAATCCCACCCTGAGGAAATACACGCTGTCTTTATGCCAACTGACTTGGGCAATGTGCAGCTCGTCTGTGCTAGGGAATTTTGCACCGGTGTAGCTACACTATGTAAATATGCAGCAGCACTGAAATAAAGCACTGTCTGTACATCTTTGCCCAAATGTTAAAGTAGCTACACTACACCAAAAAGCTCTAATGTATGTTGAACCTGAGGCTTTATCTGCCTAAAATTTACCCCTGTGCAATTGTTTCTGCCTCTGTGAATACCTTTACTTGGGGATGAATGTGTCTTGCTTTGAATCAGCTGAACTCTTAAAAACAGATCAAGCTGTTCTGCAATTTGACATGTATAGTGGAGAATGAGAACATTCATGCAGGGGTTAAATAAGGGATGGTTTGCTCAACTGTAAATGCACTTTCTGCTTTAATCTGAATTAATTCCTCTGCATTTACAAATCCCTAGTTAATTCAATCGTTGGTGAAAAGTACTGTTTAAAAATTAATAATGTGTTGATAAGGTTTTGAGGAACAGAAATTCTCACTCCGTAGAGCAAGGAGAGCTTAGACAGAATCAGTGTGTGAATGCAAGAGAAATTCAGGGCTTGAGCCTTAATTCTTGTTTTCTCTGAGATTGCCAGCGAGAACCCCTAAGTGCTTCTGTTCCTGTTCATTTTGGTGGTGTGAACACCCGCCTATTAACAAAAAGAAGAAAACTCCCAAGCTCATTCCCTGGAAGGTAGGAGCTATCAGACATGATGACTTTTGGCTTTGGAGTGCTGACGGAGAGGGGCAAGGTTCCACAGCCAAGAGCAAATCCCTGCAATCCTCTGCACAAATGACTCCTTCCTCTTTCAGAGGTCTCAATGAATTCTTGACATGGCTCTGTGCTGGCAGGGCTACAGATTTGCCCTTAGAGAACTTTATATAAAGCAGGCTGCCTCAGTGGTGCTATTCTGCTTTGCTCTGTAAAGGCTGACACCTCACTTGCCAGCAGCTGAATTCTCCTCTGGTCTATGGCCTGTTCTCAGCAGCACAAGTTAAGGCTGCTTTTGAAGGCAGTTTTATTCGTCACCTTCCACAGAAGTATAGACAGACCAGGGCAGGATCTTCTGTCTAGGGACAATGATCTGTCCCTCATGTAGAAGAGGTGGGTGAAGAGCTCTYGATGTCGCAGATGCTGCCCTCCATGTGTTAGACATTCACTAGTTATGTAAAACTCTTGGGGGAATGCACACTGCTGCCTGGGTGTGCTTCCTTTAAGCTTGCTCACGGCCCCACAAATCTCAAGACTTTTACAATAGCTGCTGAATTCCAGCATTAGGGACATCTGCCCTCCTGTGCATGGAAGACTGTTTGAAGGACCAGTTCAGAGCAGTGTAACTCTCCAGTAAGTCACTGTACGTGTAGCCTCCTCCAGGATTTAGACAATTAACCAGCTGTAAGAAATCTTTCAGATTTACAAAATCTCTCCCCGTGGATCTGTACTAGGCCACTGTAGCAGATTTTCAGAAATTACAGCCTCCTGCAGATGTTCAATCTGATATTTGCCAATCTGTGTCAGAGTTATGGATAATACTTGCCTAGAAGTTGAAGAAGTTGAAGACAAACTCGTCTAGCAGAGCTCCAAGGCTGTACAGAAGCAGTTCTGTAAGCTCCCAGCATCGGGGCCGTCTGTTATAGATGGGCCATCCAGCTACAGACTTCGTTATGTCCAAACAAAATCACAGGTGCCAAGTGAATTACTCCACAAAAGCAGGCACAGAGAGCAAAGACAGCACTTCCCCGGCTGTTTCTTTGGGGATGTAATGAGTAGCTGAATCGTGAGGAAGATACTTAGGCAGAATAAAAGTTCTTTTAAGTGCTAGGGGCCGGTGATCGCTGAGCCTCTCTATTCAGTGCCCTGCGTTCAGATTCCTTTCTGCTGCCAGCTGCCGAGAAGAAAGCAGTGTCCAACATCATTGGTCATGACTGCTTTGCCAATAAGCTAGTATTTATTTGCTGTGTGTAGTATTTTTTATCAGCTCTACATACCTTCATGGACATCGTGCTGAGCTTCAAGAAAAGAAGAAAATATCCCAGTAGTGTTTCCATAGGTGCACATACGATCTAGTTTTTCTTACATATCTGAAGAAATGCTTTAGGCCAGATAGAATGACTGAAGAAGGCTTTTTTTTTAGCAAAAA